TTATATATATATATATATATATATATATATATATATATATATATATGTTATATGCAACATTGTAGTTTTCTCTGTGGTACTTTTCTCCTGTCATTGATAAAAAATTGTCACCCTCATTATGATTCTAAAGTTACAAGCTATGACCACACAATTCACCTTCAAGATGGAAAACTGCTACCTGTTATCATTTTATCACTAATATATATAATGCATATGTTGAAAGTAGTGATTGATCCATAGAATTAAGAAGGATGATGAAAAATTAATATGGTTATATTAAACATGTTTAACTCTCATAATTTGGATCAAATTGTAAACCTATATTATTATATCAGCTAACCAAATACTAAAGACGAGGTAAAAGCGCAGCCTAATTGACTCTGGTTGATTCGGTTTGGTTTGGGTTGGGTTGGGTTGGGTTGCAGATCGCAATTTGATCGGGCTAAGATTGGGCCGGCCCATCTTCTCAATCTATAAATATACGAGCGCGTCCGCGATCCGATCTGCTTTCTTGCTTCGCAAGGGTTGTTTCCTCCGGTACGTCAACAGAGCAACCCAAGTAGAGAGGTGAGATCCTTTGGCTCTCGAGTTGTCTTCTATCGATGAGATACTTTTTAATGCGCTGATTGCTTCTTGGCTTTCTGATTTCCCTTTCGATGGTCTGGAGAGATAGGGGCTTTCATTCGTTCCTGGTTATTGAACTGCTCTAAGATTTCATGTTTGGTTTGTCTCTTGAATCGTATTCTGTGGGTGAGATACATTTTGATGACACATTGGTTCTTGGCTTTCTAATTTCCTCTTTTGATGGTGTGGAAGATTAGGGTTATGATTCTACCCTGGCTGTTCTCGCCGCTTGCGTTGTCGCTTGAATAGTCTTCTGTTGATGGGATGCTTTTGATCGTTTGATTGATTCTTGGCTTTCTTGTTTTCTTTTTGACGGTGTGGGTGCCAGGGTTTTGATTCTTTCCTGGTTGTTCTTGTGCTGTTCCCAAGTTTCCACCTTTGCATTGTCTCCTAAATCGTCTTCTGCTGATGAGATATCGGCTTTCTAATTTCTTTTTTGATGGTCTGGGGTACCAAGGTTATGATTCTTTCTTGGTTCCCAAGATTCAATGCTCGCATCGTCTCCTGAATTGTCTTCTGCTGATGAGATGTTTTCTGATCGCCCTATCGCCTCTTGACTATATGATTTGTCTGAAGAGTCAGGGTTTTGATTCTTTCCTGATTTCTCTTTAGCTATTCCAATATTCCATGCATGCATCTTTGATTTGATTTCTTTTTTTCTTTTTCTTTTTCTTTTTCCCGCATCATCTGGTGTTTGGGCTGAAATATCGCCTCAACTGCAGCTTTGTACTATAGTTTCTGTCAATTCTTTGACTTAAAATAGAAAAAGGCTCAAACTGGAAATATGTTAATCGGGTAAAATCTTATTGCCCTGGAGGAATATTATTCTCGCTGTTCTTGAGGTTATTGAAACAAACTACCCATAGTATAAGTGGGATCGAAGGCGAGGATGCCATCTAGATATAGCTTTCTGAACAACTACTTCAAAGGAAGTACTTTTTTGCTAAGATCCTGTTTGAAATTCTAGATTGTATTGTCAACTGTTATCCAACCCATCTTTGATATTCACTTTTACAGAGATTTTCCGGTGAACAAAAAGGTTTATCTTGTCTATATGTTAGCAGATTGTCATATTAAGGTGACATGGCTGCAACTCAGGTGAAAATTGGATGGGGATTGATAGAGTTTAACCTGGTGTTTATTCCGACGTGTGTTGATGCTGTCTTTAAACTGACACAACCATATGCTTGACCTGAGTACAGTTTGCATTGCTTTTTTTTTTTTCTGTTTGATAGAACCCTGGGGGGCTGGCATAAGAGGTGTTATTGCCTAAGAATCTGGGACATACATGTTGTCTCGAAGGAAAGGTGACAAGAAGATTAAAAGGTAGGCTGGGGAGGAGAGGAAGGTAGAATGTGGTAAAGAAGCATTGGTGATGGGGTAGGGAAAGATTGTGTTTGAAGCTGGGTTTGTGCACTTACATTGTAGGTCAGGTTGGATCCATTAACACTTGTATCCAGGCTTTGTCTGCAGGTTGGTTGTGTTGGGGTTTTTCTAAGCCATAAGTGACCCAATTCAACAAAAATCTAAACCCAAGCCTGCTGAATATAACGTTTGGTTGGGTTGTTTCCAGGTTAGTCTGCCTTTTGCAGACTGCAAAAATTTTGTTAAAATTTGACTTGAGATGATCCGAATCTTTACAAAATCAGCTGGACTGGTCCTGTTTATTTAAAAATTAGGTGTGGGTATGAGTTTGTTGGTGATTGCTACCCTGACTGGCTGAAGAAAGGAGTGTGGGCAATGTAGTGTTTGAGTCCAATTTCACTCCTTTTTTCAAAAAGACATGCTTCAATTTCTATTAAATGATTATTTTTGGCCCTCCATTTTCTCATTGAAATTATGGGATTTGTGCTGGCATTTCTAGTATGAGTTCTTGTACTTTTGCTCTGTAGAATTTATCAATGGCAGCAGATTAAGTGTCATGGGAGTGTATTTTCCAAAAGGATGCTTAAAATGTTCTGTGTGATACTTGTCTAATCCTTGTTGTTTAACTAAAATAGCTGCTTTGTATAGTATCTTTTACTTCCCTAATTTTTTGCTCTAAATTCTTGCTTATCTCTTTCTTTTTTTCTTTTTCTCTTTTTCTTTTGCTCAACTTTTCATTCTTATAATTACCAAGAACTTGGAGTCTTTGGAACTTGGTGCTGCAGTTCAAACATGGCAACAGGCAAAATTATCGGAGCTATTGTTGCATCCTTTGCAGTCTCATATGCATGTGATACGCTGATCTCTGATGGAAAGATATTTGGCGGTGAGTTAAATCATACCATAAATAGAGCTTTAAATCAAATTTGGCAAAGCTAAACTTGCCCCTGCATTTTTTTAAAACCAGGTACAACTCCGAAAACTGTCTCGGATAAGGAATGGTGGGAAGCAACTGATAAGAAGTTCCAGGCCTGGCCTCGCACCGCTGGACCACCAGTTGTGATGAACCCCATTAGCCGGCAGAACTTTATCGTCAAGTCATCCGAATCCTAAAGTGAATAACACAATGCAGGTTTTATGGTCTAAAATGATTAGGTCATTACTTGCGGGTGATGCGCTGTTTTGAGAAAGTATTTTATGTTTCCATGGATTGATGGAGATGTTATGAGCAGCCTTTTACGATATTTCCATAAGCTGTAATAATTTTCATGAGACCGCCATCTGGGACATGTATGCAACTATATTTCTTGTGGGTTTTACATTGAGAAATAAGGACACTGATCCATTCTTGAAGTCGGCATAATTTCAGGTCCGGTCATCCGAGATGACCCATTAAAACTACATTGCAGGGTGACATGAATTCTGTGGAAATTGTAACTTGTGGAATCTGTTAGTCTTGCAATCTGCTTGACTTGAGTTCTACATGTGATTGAGATTTATACTTATTTTGAAGAAATGATTAAGATATTGTAGTTGGCTTTGATGTGAACCTGGACGAAAGTTGTTACTATGTAGTACCTCAAACCTTGAGTCTCTCGACTCTAATGCAAAATTGCAGTAACATGGCTGTTCTTAATCAAATGTGATTAAAGACTATCCCTTTGAAAAATGTTTCAAAAGGTCAATTAATATATTATTGTCGAGGTAATAGTCTCGGTTAAGCGTGAGGAGACATATGTTGGGGACACTTGGGTGGTTCATTCAAAAGCATTATGAATCCTCATCCCGTCCTCATGGGCCGAACGAGAGACAAATTGATAGTATAATTAGTAGATCTGCCTCTGGGAGACAGTTCCTCGACTCGTAAGGCTTAAGGTAAAACGTGTTCGAGATAAGTGAGTTAAAAAAACTTGACTCACATGATAAGAAACTTGTTATTATGAGATGCACAAAGCAAAATATGCCTGAGATATAAGAGTAAAAAAAATCCAATCCATGTGAGAAGAAACATATTATAACAAGAGGCACGAGACTAAACATTCCGAGGTATATGAGTCGAAAAAACCCCTCTCGTGAGAAGAAGCCCACCATGGCGAGTGGCACAAAAGAAGAGGTGTCCTAGGTATGTTGGTTGGGAATACTCGACCTACTTAGAACCCTCAAGTTATATGTCAAGTTAGGTTGGAAAAGTCCGACTCACCTAAAGCGAGGCTTGCCCAAGTCATGAAGGTTGAAAAAACATAATCCTCACAAGGCTAACTTGAGGTGGAGAAGTTGGGCACCAACCCCCTCTATGCCCGAGGTGGATAGGTCAAATGCCAACCTCCTTCATTACCCAAGGTGGAGAGATCGGACACTGATTCCCTATATGCCCGAGGTTGATAAGTCAAGCACTGACCTCCCTCTTTACTCAAGATGGAGAGGTCGAATGCCTTGACTCTCACGTTGTTCAAGGTAGGGAGGACGAGCTCCCCAACCCCTTTTCTTTTTTGAATGTGTCTAAAGTACGTTGGATAGACACATCTATTTTTCCTTAGAGAAGCGATCAAAGGAGAATAATGTTAATGTGTTAGATGAGCCAAGCATTGTGTTTGAAGACCAGCGTCAAAGAGTTCCTAAGACACGTCTTTAGGAGAAAATAAATGATAAATAATATATCATCGATTAATCACTATTTAACACGTGTCGAGTTTTGATCTCAAATGATAAATAATATATCATCGATAAATAAATGATAAAGACATTCAAGCTAAAAGAAAGAGATACATATAGAAAAGACTCAAAAAATCTCTTTTGATCTCAATTTTTCTATATGCACCGAGAGAGATGATCATTTTCACCTGAAAAGACATCGAATAATTCTATACACATTATAAGGTCAAAACTATATTAGATTGATTAGAACATTATCGACGTATTTTCATGATATTTTCCGAATGCAAAGCTAATGGTTCGACATTGAATTTACCGATTACCTAACCGCATTGTTATAATAGGCAATTGCAATTTGTCTCCACTAAAGGTCGAGTTTTGCTCAAGCATGCGGGTTTTCTGGTCGGTTAAATGCTGACGCCTTCATTCAAAATGGTCGGCTCTGCATGATGTCAGTCCGCGGTGAGGGGAAAACAAGTCTTTCCATCGACCATTTCGAGGGGCGAGATGTAAATATTCATTACAGCCAGGGGTTTTCTCACAAAAAGCCAATAACAGAGGAATTAAACCAAGAAATAAACGTCGGTAATAACGTCAAATGTTAGGGGCTTTTTCAAAAACGTATATGACTCTATATATAAGCCTCGTTCCCTTTCCAAATAATTCGAACTGGAAAGTGGCGCCGTTTTAGGGTTTCCCGAAGGAAGATGGAAGAGAGGGGTCCCTCGGTGGACTCCGTCTACCTCCCGATCAGGGACGCCAGGAAGTGCATCCACGAGAGGGTGAATATCTTCGCTGCGGTCTCCTCGATCGGGGCCGAGAAGAAGAGCAGGGGAACCGGTGCGTTTTGCTTGCTCGTCTCCGCATCAATCTTTCCAATTCTTTTCTCTAGCCGTTCTTTCTCGAGTTATTGGGGTTTTTGATTCGCTTTGCTCGATTGTCTCCGCTTGAAAGCTATGGCTCTTTCCATTTGTTATCTCCGCCTGTACTTTCATGAGTTCTTGGGGTTTTTGATTCGTTTTGCTCGGTTGTCTCTGCATGAAAACTATGGCTCTTTCCATTTCTTATCTCCCCCCTGTACTTTCATGAGTTCTTGGGGTTCTGAATCAAGATTTTCGCTGGCAATGATGACAAAAAGGCCGGACTCACAGCTGCCCTGGACATTCTTGTTTCAGTTGGTAGTAGAATGATGTGACTTGTCGTGAAGGTGTTAGCTGAGCCAGCTGGTTGTTCCATACGAGTAAAGTTCTTATTCGAAGGTATCTTGTGTTTTGAGCGAATAATTTTGTTAAGACCTCATTACTTGGAGTATTGAATAAAGTTATTTACTGATAATTGAACCTAACCTAATGTTCCCTTATGGAATTAGGGTTCGTAGTATGTTTACAAGTAAGTTTCTAGTGTTCAAGATTGCACCATGATTAATCTACAAATGAGGTTTCTTAAATGTCATTACTCAGTGACACTATCACTTGAGTTTATGGACTAGTAATGGAATGAAGTATATCTGTCTCACTGGCTTATCTAATTGTGCCCTTTTTTCTCCGGAGCAGGTATGTAAGAAATAGGTGAGAACCAAGGCATGAACCTTGGGTTTCCTGCAAGATGCAATTCGAGTTTGCTGTTTTGATCTTTTTGTCTATTATCTACAGTGGAAAGTTGATCTAATCTTTTTTTCCAAAATGGGTAAATAAGATTCAGTACTAATCAAGGTTCGGACCTTGATTTTCCTGCAAGATGCAACACGTGTTTACTGTTTTAATCTTTTTCTCCATGATCTACAATGTAACATTTAGAAATCAAGTAGGAGATGAGTTTTGGACTACTCCTCAAGCGGAATCTAAGTAGGAAGTTTCTGCTACTAAGTTTCTGACTACTGTTCCATCAAATATCGCTGGTCCTTTTTCTTTAACGTGTCTGTTTCATTTTCGTACGATGTTATTTTATTTTGATAATGCAGTTCCTGATCCCAATGTTGAAAGTTGGGTGCTGATATATTCTTTTGTGAATTCTTATATTATAGTCTTTCTTGAACTTCATTAGACAACTACTTTTTTTATTTTTGGAGAACCATAGGACAGCGTCAAGTTACTTAGCCTTGATTTAGACAATTAATCATTTTTATTGTTTTGTTGGTCATAAGTGATTTTAAGATGTACTGTAATCCCAAAACATTTGCTAATCAGATTTTTTACCTAAAAATTTTCAGATACTAAATGTATGTCAACTACTATTGGTATTTTCTTTGCAGACTATGTTGTGTCACTAAAGATAATGGATCAGTCTTATATGGAACCTGGGATTTCAGTGAATTTTTTTGCTGAAGATATGACAAAGCTACCACATGTCAGGGCAATTGGTGATATTATTAGTCTTCAGAATGTTGAGGTAGCTGCTAACATCAGCAAAATTATCATTGGTGCATATTACATTACTGCATTCTTTAGTTTTAGCTGTATGTGGGTTATGATCCTTCTTGACTAAAACATCTTTAGCTTCTATTGTGTGTTATATAGAAATACATTCCTCTGGTTCTTTTTATTTATTCAAAGTATTGTTTCCTTAAGCTTACAAGTTCAGACTTTGGTGAGCTTTGAAATTAGGCCACTGTAGTCTCTTCCCTCGGATACTTTTGCCATTGCTGAAAGATGTGAATGTTGAAAGTTCAGTTAGGTAAATTCAATATGTGATATTTACACAGTTTTATTGTGTTTTTCCACATTATTTTCCTTAATCAGGTACATCCATACACCCACATCAAGATTTCAGTTTCAATTGTATAAGTCCAACAGGTGTCTGTTTATCACATCAGTACCCAGGAGTGCCTCTGTAGTTTACTCAAATTGTTTATGACATATGTTTAACAGCTCTTTTTATATATATGGCTAGAATGAAAATTTTAAAACTCAAATTGTTTATGACATATGTTTAACAGCCCTTTTTATATATATGGCCAGAATAAAAATTTTATATCTCACATTGTTGCACATTATCCAGGTGAGAATTCACAGAGGAGATGTTTATTGTGTTCACAATAAGAAGTTTTCTGCCTTCGCTCTGTTTCAAGGGAAAACAACATCTGGCTTGATTCATTATCAGAAATCAGCGAAGTATCATGCTACCAATCATGATGATGAATTTTTGTCACAAATAAGGACATGGTTGCTTGATAATCCGCCTAAAGCAGGTTTTTGTTTTTAACAAACAATTTTCTATATTTCCCATACATCCTCTTTCTGCTAATGTATGTGATATTCTTCCTTATTCTTTATTGTGTTATTTGATTACTCTCCTTTTTCCTCTAGTTGGGAAAGATGTGCCATTGTTGCTGCGTAGGATTAAGTTAGATCTTGCTTTTGATTTAGTTTGCAAGGTAAGCCATTTCTTCCAAGCATTGCTTGTTTAACTGAAAATTTTATGCATATATGTATGACTTCTTGCTTCCAAAAGGTTCTTCATGTTTCTGAAACTTCTAAAGGGGATTGGATGCTCTTTGTGTGGGATGGAACTGATACTCCTCCAGCAAAATTACAGTTTGAGTATGTCTTTTATTCTAATTCATTGGTTAGCTTAATCGTACCGCATTGTTTAAATTTGAACTGTCAATGCCAAAATTCTGCTGCTGCAAACTAATTAATTTTCTGATGACTGATGTAAGTTATTAATTTGCATAAACTCATGATGGTTGGTTGTCGCTGTCAAGCAAGGAAATGGTGTTGCATTGAACTATCTTATGGCTCATCTAGTTCTGTAGTTTATCTGGACTTGTTGGAATGTATGAATCAGCCTGAAATTGTGTCTACCATTTGGGATTTTATAATTTTTCTATAATGATGCAACTGAGAATTTAATGACTAGTTCCTAACCTATGTTTATGTAGTAGTTAAAAAAGGAATATGTAAGATTCAAGTGAAAATAATTGTCAATTACTATAGTCTCAATGGGACTAAATGGTAAAGATGATGATCAAGCTAACCTGATGCTTAGTTACCGTTAGTATATCTCATGTTTTTCTTGCCTATGTTTTTGCTTGTCTCACAATATTAGATATCTGATAATTGCTGATGACGGATTGAAATTTTGTTTCTTGTCATGGGATAACAGTCTTGAGCTTCAAGGGGAAAGGCCATGTTCTTTACATGTTGAAGAGTTGCCTCTTACAATAGAGGTTTTATGCACATTTCCTCGTGTTGGTTCAGTCTTAAGAGTATTTGCTAGCAAGTCTTTTAAAGTGATAACACATCTACATGGTGGTAATCAGTGGGTCAAGTTATGTAATATGATCTGTGGGTTGCATGATGGTATGTGGAATGGCATGCTGCAACCTTGTAGTGAAGTCCTTCTTTTGTCTGATGAAGACTCGATTGCAAGGGAACATTTAAAGTAATTACTTTTCTTTTTCCATACACTTAGATCCATTCTTTTCTTATTAAGTTTAGTTGAGTGGACTCTTTTTGTCAAATAGGACATATGATCGCCGCCTTGCAACTGCATTGGAAAATTATCCTATGACAAGCTTTCCTGCACCTTCTCATATTACAGGTTATCAGAATTTTTGTTGGAAAATTGAATATGAAGTTCTCTGATATCTTTTTGTTGTTTAATTTTCCTTGTGCAGATGTACTAACTTCCTTTTGGTTTTATATACATTTAATTTTAACCAATTATTTGGTTGTGATAGTAAGTAAAGAATGGCAACTACTTTAGGAGTTTTTGCCCATCTTGAGATCAGAATTTTCTAGATTTCTCATAATTGATGTGAAACGATAATTTAGTTGAAGATGTGAAGCAATTTTTATGATATGATTAGGAAACAATAAGAATATTATGTTTTGTTATAAACTATCCTTGCCCTCTTTCTCCCTAAAACAAATCATTACCTGGTGTGGTAATTTATCTGAACCTTTTTATTTTGACATCATTCTGCTCACCTTTTACATCATTTTGAAACATATTATTATTCTACTTGCAACTTTTTACTTTATTTTGGATCATATTATCTAACCTTTTGTTTTCTTTGATTTCTCCTTAGTGCTGGATTATGATTACAAGCCATATACAACTTTGATAGAATCCCTCAGTCATCCAGAGGTCTCCTTATTTGTTGCAATGAAAACTTTATTTGTGTTGACTAGCATTATGTATCTTTTGCTATGCACAAGGAAATTTGTAAATTCGTAAAAGAAATGTTAATGAGTATTGAGCAACAAAAATAAGAAATTACCTCAAGGTTAATCTGGAAAGGTTCTAGTGCTTGAGACTCTTGCCAACTTTGATAGTCTTTCAACTTATCCAGGGGTCTCCTTATCTGTTGCATTGAAAATTATGTTTGTGTTGCCTGGCATGCTGTTTCTTTTTCTATGCACAAGTAAATTTGTAAATTCTTGAAAGAAATGTTGGTGTGTTTTGAGCAATAAAAATAAGAAATTATTTCAAGTCTAATCTAGAAAAGACTCCCGCCAATGTGGAGTTGTTTGAAAAGGATAAGGTACACATTTTTTATTTGCATAGAGAGGGTTTTTTTCATGAACCAGTTCTTGAAACATCAAGCTTCAAAGGAGTCTTACAATGCCAAGGTCTTTCATGTTTGAATGTATCTCATTCAAGCAATTATATGTTGTGATGATTGACATAGTTGACATAAATTTTGTCGAAAATCAAGGGAGTGAAAACTTAACATTGATATAGTTGATTTTATAAAGATACATAAGAAATTGTATGAATTAAATTAGAAACTTTGGCTTAGTTGTTAGAACTAAAACCTGAAATCGTATAGAAGTCTCTCTATATTAGCATCATAGTCTTGCTTGACATACATGTCAATTACACTAATTTTTAGGCCTTTCTGTTTTCATTCTACATTGAAGGGGTCACTTTAATTAGTGTAAGCCTAAGTGTGATTATGTCATAACTGGTAACAAAGTTAATTATCTTGAAATTCAATTTGTCCTCTTGTTCATAGTGTTTCTACTTTTTAAATTCTTTCTTTGGGTGATGATGGTAGATGTCATAATTCAATTAGAACACTAAATCAATAAGTGTATTTCTTATTGATTTTTGGGCTGAAGTGTCAAAAACATCCTGTTAGATTCTGTCGTTGAGATGAAAATAGATGTCCAATTACTCCAGAGTCCATTAGTTGTATTTTTTTAATCTAGTTTTAGGAGTTCTAGAAGGACATGAAAATCTGAAAGAAAGCTCAACTAGAAATTAGGAGAAGCCTTTTATATGATTCCGCTCTAAGAATATGTATTAGTTAAACATATAAAACGGAGGGGACTGCCAATTGGGATATTTGCTTGTATGAAGCACTGCTAATAAAAGAGTGAACATTTTAATGCCTGAAGGGACTTTCCTGTCTGTCTTCTCTACTTTTGTCCTGCCTCTGACGTTACTTATTCCCACCTCTTTTATCTATATACTATCTTAAAACTTCTTTCAGAAGATTTGTTGTGTTTATTTGTGTTTTGCATCAAACAGTCCTCCAAAGATACTGTGTAAAGATCAAATGAGAGCTTAAGTTTTGGACCACCAGATCGTTCCACTTCCTGTTTATGTCACCCTGAGAAATAAATACAAAATTTTGGAGTGTTGATCAAATGATTCTGTTGAATGTTCCAGACTACATATTTCATGCATTATTTGTTCAATGGAAATATCTGTTGAATGTTTGTGTACCCTTTAGTTTGTTTATATGAACTGAGATAAGGATTTTAAGGAAAATGAATAATCACCTGACTGCTTCTGTTCATATTCCAGGAAATTATTTTTTTTTCTACTGGATTTAACCTTTCTAGCAGTCTCTGTTCTGCCTGTGCTACGTTGAAGTAGAAAGATGCTCATACATGTGTTGGATGCTTTATGGTGCAGGTGACACATAAGTGCATGTGCATTGTGCGAGTGGTGGCAGCATATCCTTGGCAAGCTAAGGACCTTCGTTCCCCAGTTACGGGGCACTACCGTATTAGATTTACTGTGGAAGATCCAACAGCAAGAATTCATGCATACATTTGTGGAGAAGATGGGGTACTTTCTTTCACTCTCAGCATAAAGCAAATATTGTATCACTAGTAAATGTAGGCAATTAGTAGTTTGATTTAAAAATCACCTTGAAATAGTGGGAAAATCTGCTGGTTTATGTAAGGTAACCATTATAGGTTAGGAAGCACCAACATGACAGTATGGACGCCACAGTGCGATTATTCCGAAATAGATCTGCATGCATTAGACATGTGTTGGCGCAAGTATTCAGTGTGTTTCCTTTTCTTTACATGAAATGAACATATGTTGACTGTAAGCTCTGGTGTTTTGTCTCATACGGATCAGGTAAAATTTTTCGAAGGATACCCAACCACAGAAGTATTAACCAGCAAGATGGACAAGCTACTCGGTATAACTGATACTGATGGACAAGCAGGAAGTGATGATGGTGTTAGAAATCCACCATGGGTGTGGTGCTGTTTAAAATCTTATTATTTGGATGAAAACAATCCTCGAGGAAGCCGGAGATATCGGATATTTAGCACGACACTAGTTGGGTGAAAACATGTTTATTACCTACCCCATCTCAAAAAAGAATTGTGTTATAATAGCATTTTAGACGTATCATGTAAATGTTGCAACTCCCTTCACCTGGGCACGGATGCCAATGCCATGTTTTGTTTGCAGTGTGGCTCCATCACGACGTCCTTGTATATTTCTTGTTAGATATTTGTTCAAAACTCTCGAGCTTCGTGTGAATGAATGAATCATCTTCTCCCCGTGCGTACGTTGAAGAGTTGTTGATGGTTTTTTTTTTATTCCCTGCAAACATAACTGAAGAAGATGGAATTCAAGTGTGAACTCATGGATTGAATGTCTGATTAGCAAATACTTTCAATTGTGGACTCTTACACAAAACATTTCATGTGTGTGAAGAGGTAGGTTGCTTTCAATATTGAGCAAACCTGGGGTTGACTGGAGACTTTGATTTCTGAAGGAGTCGGTGGACAAGATTTATTTCAAGGGGACCACGCGTGATCGAGTTTGGTAAATATCATGGTGAGCTTTGCAGCTGCTGTGGTGTTTTGTCGTTAAATGGGATCTTCCTCGTCTGTGATCTTTAACAGGAAAAGTTATACAAACCTCAAAGAAAGAAATATTAAGTTTAGCTCCGGCATAGTACACAAACAAACCTCAGAAATGCAGCCAATACCAGACAGGCCACGAGCAAGCAACGTAGTTTCAAAGAAATGTAAAGAGTTTACCTCTGGCAAAGTACAAAATCCTTTCATTATGGACATAGGTATCCGGTGTTACATCTAATACCTGGCTCAGCATAAGATACAATAAGACAGCCCGAGCAGAGAATCCCAGGGAACAGCGGACCGAGTTTGAGAGAGCAGCTAGTGTGTGTTGTCCAACATCAGGGGAACTGCTGTCGGTTATACGTATCCTCGTGCACGAAGACGGGATTTGCCTGAGCTGGTGGGACCTGAGGATGTGCCATCGCAATGCCCCCTTGGTTTTGGTCCACACCCCAACTTTGTGCATTCTTGGATGACAAGGCAACGTAGTAAACAATGGCAAGGGCGACGCTGGCAAGGGACAGCACCGCCCCGCCCGAGAACACTCCGGACTTCACCACGTAGCAGTAGTCTCCAAAATACATCCTTTCTTGACCCCGCTGGTCGTTCAAGGCAGCACCCGTCAACAACAGAAGGAACGCTATTATGAATGAAACCCTGCATCATTATGAGCGTTAAACTTGTTCACTATTTGCATCATCTCATCTTCTATATATGATCTATGTGAAGACTTTGGAACGACTAATCTCTGCCATATTTGACAGACACCGATAATTAAGTTTCGGTCCAGAAGCTTACCAAGAAGCAACGAAAGAGATCAACCCTAGGGTCCAGTTGGTGCCCGATGGATGAGGATGCTTCTTGCAACATACGCACCCGGCTACGGTGTTTATTATCACCTGCGCCATCATAAGAGCCAATGCTGATATCAGACCCAGCGCTAATGCTGGGCTCTTTGGATACACACATTCACCTCCTGTTGTTGTTTGGACATCAGAAGCCTGCACGGTTGAGAATGAAGTGAATTAACATGTGCACACTATGTTTGCCGCATGAACTTACTACTGCTGGCATCTTATAACAAGTTATGCTGATTGGAAGTTTGAGCACTTTTTATTTAGGCAGTACCAGAGAAATAATAGAACAATTTAATGGCTCTAGAAAAGTTTACCATAAAAATTGCATCATGGGATATCTAAAAACCGGTAGCTATTACCCTCTTTTCCTTTAACCTCAACCAGTGAGTCTCACAATTTTACTTTGGTTGGCCCTATGGATCATGGTGTGGCTCATCAAACTGGTAATAAATCACGATATGGTCTCAGCTTGAAATATTGGCAGCATAATGACCTAGCAGGCAATTGGTAGTAGTTAAACATATCGAATTCACCCATCAAACAGTCTATGCATGATGAGGGTGACCAACCAACTGAAACAGACTAGAAAACAAGAAGAGGGGAGAGATCAAGAACGGAATTATATGCATATCTAATGAAATCATGCATAAAGTACACAGAACATCTCCAATAGTAGGCTGTTCTTTTTTTTTTTTCATAAAATGCTTCTCTCTGGTTCATGATGAGTATCTTTCCAGAGCCATCTGATCAAAAGCTCCGTCTATGAATGATAGCCATAAGACAGCCAAGATCACTATTCCAACTTTAATGCTCCAAATCATTCATCAGCTTTTAGAACAGACAAAACCAATGCTTCCATAGATTACAAGCTATGTAATCGCCATTTAAGTAGCTACATGTAGTTCAATCAAAGTCCAGGGAATATATTACCTGCAATTCCATGATCCTAATGTCGCAATTAACTCATTCTTAATAACAAAGCAACCAGTACAATACTAAATCCCTCATCTACTTTCAAGAAGATTAAACTAAAATTAGACTTAAAACGGGGAACAATGTTTTGTGATGGAAGGGTAAATGGCTGTGGATAAAAATAAAACAAAAAATGGTCGAAGAATATTAATAAAAAAAAGAAAGTTTTACATTCGTTAAAAGGAAGTAAAGTAAAAGATATGCCTAACGTCGATCCCGACCTCAAAATTTTGAATCCATCATCATCCTACATCATCAGTTTCTTGATCCTCCCAAACATTCTGAGGAACATTTTCTACAAATCAGCAATACTCTTTTTCCTCCTTACACGTTCAAGAGAAACAAGACTGTTTTGAATCATTTCCTGACCATGCATCCCTTCCAAATTCCGTAGCCACAAGCTTTAAAAACTCTGAACGGTTCCCTCACCCTTAAATTCTTCCAAGAAACTTAGTTTCTTCGAGTACGATACAGAAAATGGTAGCTAAATTGCATTAGTAAAAATGAACAATTCAAACAAAGGCTGTTTTCGACCAAGATTCCCTGATTGATCCTCATCGAGTAGCATTTCTCGAGATCTCTGAACTATAATTGCATCCAACGAGAAGATGGACTTCGGATATATAATTTGGACAGCTTCCGACATTGGTGAAATCATCACATCACCTTACTTAAATATAGACAAACCATTTGAAAACTACCAAGCATCAAGATCCTGTTCTTAACCACTAAACCCCTTTCAGGAATGCATGATAAGGAAGGGAAAAAACAAGAAAAACACAATAGCCCTTTACCGATTGCACAATCCTAGTCAAACACCCAACTCTGCACCAAGGCAGCGACTTCCTGGTCCATTTAGAAGCTAACATGAGACCCAAGTAAGAACAGAACCCCAAGATGAATAATTTACTTGAAGCCATTTTTGACCCCCATCATGTAGCATTGTTTTGAGATCTTCGAACTATAATTGGGTCCAACAAGAAGATGGACTTCAGATATCTAACTTGGACAGCTTCCAACATTGGCGAAATCATCACATCAACTTACTTTAAAATAGGCAAGCATTTGAGAAATTAACCTCCAAATAGACCACTTAACCACTATTACACCACTAACAGGCAGTACATGTTAAAGAGAAGGAAACATCAGGAGAAGTAACAAGATAAAAGACAAAGAAAACACCATCAAGCATCAAGATCACAACTCCTTCCAACAATACACACAAAAAGGAGGGAAAAGACAAGAAAACACAAGTAGCCCTTTGCCTGATTGCACTCTCGTAGTCAAAGCCCCAACTCCTCACGAAAATAACAACTTCCCGGTCCATTTATAAGCTAATATCAGATCCAAGAAAGAACAGAAACCAAAATGAATAATTGACCCCCATCAAGTTGCATTGTTTGAGATCTTTGAATTATAATTGGGTCCGACAAGAAGAGGGACTTCAGGAACAGGACATGGACAGCTTCCAACATTTGAGAATCTCTAGGGTATAAGAAATACGTTACTAATCCTACACCACTAACAGAGAACATGTTGAAGAAAGACGGAAACATCAGGACAAGTAACAAAAGGGAAGAAGCATCAAGATCCCATTTCCTCCCATGATACACAAAACCTATAGCTATTTGCCGATTGCACGATCCTAGTCAAAGATCCAACTCAAATAAACATCAGATCCAAGAGGTAACAGAAAGCAAGCAGTCGCCGCCAACGAACTCCCTATTCAATAACACCAACGCAAAGAACACGAAACCGAATCTTGAAGGGAAAACCGAAGGGGGGGGAAAGGTGAGGACCTTAGTCCTGGTGGCCTCGGCTGCAAAGGCGAGCGCCGCGGAGAGGAGCCCCAGGAAGCCCACGGCCACGCAGACCACCATCACTTTCCTCTCCATCGCCCTCGCCCTACCAAAAACCCTCTCTCTCTCTTTTCCTCCACCTCCTCCTCCTCTTGATCTCCTCTGCACTATGACCAGAGAAAGAAACAGACGGGAGATTCTCCTCTCTCTCTCTCTCTCT